ATATGCCAACATTTCCATTATTAAATTGTTATGGTTCCTAGCAAGGAACATTGGAATTTTAAATGAAAAAAAATAGCATTTATGTTAGCATTCAAAAAATTAAAATACTTAGGTATAAATCTAGATATGTATAAGATCTGTATGATGAAAATTAACAAATTCTGATGAAAGGAATCAAAGAATAACTAAATAAATGAAGAGATAATCCATGTTCATGGAGAGCAAAACTCAACATTGCCAAGATGTCAATTCTTCCCAAATTGATCTACACATTCAACACAGTTCCAATCAAAATTCCATTAAGTTATTTTGAGGATATTGACAAATGCAGAAAAGACAGTCTTTTCAGCAAATGGTCCATAAACAACTAGATATCCACATGAAGAAAAAAAAGAATTTAGACATATACCTTACACTCCATACAAAAATTAACTCAAAATTGATAGAAGACCTAAATATAAAATGGGAAATTATGAAACTCCCAGAAGACAACACATGAAAAAATCTAGATGGCCTATGACTTTTTATATTTAACATCAAAGACATGATGAAGGTAAGATTAATTGATAAGCTGGACTTAATCAAATTAAAAACATCTGTTCTGTGAAAGACACTGTCAAGAGAATATGAAGACAAGCCATAGACTGGAAGAAAATATTTACAAACCCTGTGATAAAGAACTGTTATCCAAAATATACAAAGAACTTTAAAACTCAGCAGTAAGAAAATGAAAAACTTGATTTGAAAATAGACAAAAGATCTGAACAAATATCTCACCAAAGAAGATATAGGTGGCAAATAAGTGTATGAAAAGATGTTTCATACCATATGTCATCAGGAAAATGCAAGTTAAAACAACAATAACACTAAACACCTATAAGAATGGTCAAAAGACGAAACACCAAATACACCAGATACTGGTGAGGATGTGGAGCAACATGAACTCTCTTTCATTACAGCCACTTGGAAGACAATTCAGGTTTCTTACAAAGGTAAGCATAATCTTACTATCAATCTTACCCACAACTATGCTCCTTGATATTTACCCAAATGAGTTGAAAACTTATGTAAACACACACACAAACACACACAAACAATAACAACAACAGCAAAACAAAAGAAAACAAACAAACAAACAAACAAAAACTGCACATGGATGTTTATAGTAGCTTTATGATTGCCAAAACTTGGAAGTAACCAAGAGGTCCTTCAGTAGGTATTTGGATAAATACTGTGGTATATCCTATATCCAGACATTGGAATATTATTCAGTGTTGCAAAGAAATGAGCTTTTAAGTGTGAAACATATGGAGGAAACATTAGAGCATATTACTGAGTAAAAGAAGCCAATATAAAAGGGCTACATACTGTATAATTCCAACTATATGACTTCTGGGAAACTATAGAGACAGTAAAGTAGATCAGTGCTTGCTATGGGTTAGTGAGCACAGAGGAGTTTTAGGGCAGTGAAGCCACTCTGTATGATACAATAATGGTCGATACATGTCATTGCATATCTGTCAGAGCACACAGAATGTACCAACACCAAGAGTGAACCTTAATGTAAACTATGGACTGTGGGTGACAATGATATTATTTGTCAAAGTAGTTTCATTGGTTTTAACAAATGAAGTGCTCTGGTGTGGGATGCTGATAGTGGGGGAGGCTGTGCATGTTTGGAGGTAAGAGTATATGGGAAATCTCTGTACTTCCTGCACAACATTGCTGTAAACCTATAATTGCTCTAAATATAGTCTATTAAAAAAACTGTCATGGGCCATTAAAAAACCCACTATGAGACTCCAAGTGTCTGTCCATTTATTTCTAGTTAAAGCTGAGGTCACAGCCAGCAATTAAAACATGATTTACATTAAGTTAAAGGATAAAGTAGCATTTTAAAAGCAGCTGCCATTACTTGCATTATTTATTCATTGGGTACTGTGTATTGCAGAATTGTGCTGAATAAAGACAAATGTATTCTCATTATTGAAGAACTTACAGTCCAAAGATAGAATGGAAATTCAGGAACAACTTGAATTTCTCAGGATCATCAAAACAGCATTCTAATGGGAGGAAGACAGTCCAAAATACTCTTATGTGGATAAGTCTTCTTACCCAATATTGGTATTTATGGTTCTTGTACCTAATTGCATATTGAGAAGAAACAGACTATCCTCAATTTGGCCCAAGTGTTGGCCTGTATGTTTTTTTATTAACTTGGCAAATTGTTATGGATGCACATTTTATGAATCTAATAATATTAAACAAGTGACACTAAAATACACTCTAAACACTAAATTGTTCACATATGGGCAGGGGAATCTCTTGAGTCTCACTGAACCGTTATCAGTCATTCAGAAGCGTTCACCTCATAATAAAAGTGCTATGCTTATCGAATTTAGAAACAGCAGCATTATACAATTGGGGAGTTCAAACATCTCTTCTAGATGTTTAAATATACGAATATGTTCCCATAACTAGTTCTTGGTATGCTTTTGTTTTGTTATTTGTGGGTTTGTTTTGTTCTGTTTGGGCCAGATGAACAGTTTCCCCTAGTTTAACCTAAAACTTAATATAGGAATTAAAGCCACTTTCCTCTTGCAGATTTTTTTCTTGCAACTTTCCCATTAGAGGAGACAGTTTGACATTGTGGAGCTGTAGAATATTATGATCCCTCTGAAACCTTTGTCCCACTACTCTTCCTTCCCACTTCCTGTCCTAAAGAACTGAATTACTTCAAATTTCCCAATTGCACCAGCATTTTATTTTCTCTAACATCACACATATTCTTTCCTCTGCTTGCAACATTCTATCCTCCCTCTGCCTCCCATACTTCTTAGCCTCATGGAGCCATACTGTAATTTATTTCTTTTACAATCTACTGGCTCGGAGTCAGTAAACTTTGTGTCTGGTTAAATGTTATATTTTATTCATCCCTGTGTTCCCATGCCCTCACACATTGCCTGGCCCTTAGCAATTGCTCAGGAAATGCATATTACTCCATTGCCATCAGCCAGTGGTGTTTTATTTAAAATCCAAAATATATGTGTTTACTGTTTAAAATTCAAACGTTAACCTAGAGAATTTAGTATCCTAACCATGCATGGCCCACCTCCTCCCTTCCAAGTACATTTTAACTTAAATAAACTGTTTTGTTCTTGCAGTTTCTGCAAGTTAAGAAGTCAGTGTGGTACAGATGCATTAATGCAAGCAGGATTTGCCTAGACATCAATAAACTTGAAAGGCTCCCCAGTGGGCCACTTGTAGTGTCAATAAAGGCTCATAATTACTTGCTCCTTTGAGAGTTTTAGACCCAACTCCCAAGTTCGCTCTGCTGGGAATAGAGGCTCCAGAACTGAGATGTTCTTTACTTCCTAAACCTTGGGCGAAGAATGTCAAACATGGGAGGGACCTCTGGGTTTTTTTTTGTTTGTTCGTTTATTTGTTTTTTTGCCAGAGAGCTGGCTGTTAGCCTTATTTTAAGCTCTCATGGGACTAGTAACTGAGAACTCCTCTTCTTGCCCCACTCCACTGGAGGCTTGATGGTGGACCTCACCATTTCCCGGACTTGTGTGGGTGTAAACCCCAGCGGCCAAGAACGGATGATGACAGTTGGAGCCCACTGCTCAATTTGAAGGAACAAGGAATGCAATTGAGAAGTTGGGGGCGGAGTGGGGCGAAGGACTTGGGACCAGCGCCTGTACATGGGGGGAATTCCTGGCTTCCAGGCGCTGTCTCACGCTAGGGGTGCCTCTGGGATTCATGGCCACCAGCCTCGCGGTGAAGAGTCAAACCAGACGGGGGACAACCGACGCAGCAAGCTTCTCTCTGGGTGAGGGAGGGAACCATAGGGCAGTGGAGAAGTACTCAGCCTGAAGACTGGAACCCAGGACTGGGAAAAGGCCCCTGCCACATAACACAACAGAAGTGAGGGAACACTAGGAGAGAGGCAAGGGAGAAAATGCGAGGACAAATACCTGTCATTGAGACTTTTGGGGACGAGTTTGTCCTTCTTTTCTCCCTGCCTCCCTCCTCCTTCCTCCCTCCTTTCCTTCCTTCCTTCCTTCCTTCCTTCCTTCCTTCCTTCCTTCCTTCCTCCCTTCTTCCTTCCCCTCCCTCCTTCTTTCCTTCCTTCCCTCCTTTCTTCTTCTTTCCTATTTTTCTTTGCATGTGTGGATGTATTTGCCTTTTAAAAAGAAGGGCCTTGGCGACTTTTACTGAGAATCTTGTTTCTCCTCAGTGAAGTTTAAGTAGGATGGGAGTTTCCTTGACTTCTGCGTGAGTAGCTTACAAATGGTAATGCAAGAGAGTCACATAAATATCCATAAAGTGCCTAATGACACTTCTGTCGTCACTTGTTGCCTACAGGCTTCTGAGTCGGGGTTGTCATCCTCCACCAACCCTGAGTGGGCGATAGGCTAATCGGTTCATGTGTGCACTTGTACTTGTGAGGTGTGCACGGATGACAAAACGCCTTCCTCTTCAGAAGCCTCCTTCTCCTGATCCACTCTACTTGGGATGGCTTGTGAATACGTGTGTGCGCGCGCATGTGTGTATTGAGCAAAGGCGCTTGGAAGAAGGGACCCTTCTTGTAACGCATCTCCAGTCCTATATGAAGAATTTCACCACCACGAAACGCCCCTAATCTGCCCGCAGCACAGTGCCCTCTTCACGCTGATGGGGACAGACTGCCTCGGAGCTTCTCTGTCCCTGGAGCTGGCGCTTTGGTGTTCAGGGGGAGCTGCCTGACTTCCTCTTGGAATGCTGAGCTTTCCCCGGGGTGTAGGAGTGCTGGTTCCTGTGAGTGAGTGAGTGAGTGAGTGAGTGAGTGAGTGAGTGAGTGAGTGAGTGAGTACACGACTATGAGCTTCTCAGTGCGAGCGAGCTAAGCGGCAACAACAGCCTCCGCCTCCTCAGTCCGGTGATTGGCTGGGTTTGCTCATCATTTCCCTGCTAAGAAAAGGGAAGGGCCAGTGACGCCCCCAACCCAGCTGCAGAAGCGGCCGACACCTCCAATGCACAAGGTGTCTTGTCTTTAAAGAAACCTGAGCCCCAGGGAGGCGGCGCGGAGCTACCCCGCAGGGCTGGCGCGAACCGGGAGGGAGAGCGCTGGGCAGCGCTGGAGCAGCAACGGGAGCCCTGCCACAGAGGACCCTCGAGACCTGCTCCTGAGATCCCGGCTCCACGATCTCCTCGCATTTTACAGATTCAGCCCCTCATCCCCCGAGACGATATCTCCCAAAACGGAGCTTTTATATCCAGAGAAGGTGCCGGTGCTGGGGCAATCAGGACTTTCCCGGGCACCCAAGATGCGTTCCATTAGGAAGAGGTGGACGATCTGCACGATAAGTCTGCTTCTGATCTTTTATAAGACAAAAGAAATAGCAAGAACTGAGGAGCGCCAGGAGACGCAACTCATCGGGTAAATGCAAAGCTTCATTTCAGGATATGACAAAAAGTCAAGCCATAAATGATATGCAAATATAGATGATAGAGTGAGGGTTGGGATAGACTGTGTGTTCGTATAAGCTTGTGTGTGTTTTGTCTCATGAATTAAATAACAAAGGCAGTTGTTCAGGCGTGTTCCCAGTAAGAAGAGTTCAACTTGTCCCTGTGCGGTGGTAGTGACAGTTGTGTTGGTGACGGGGGCTCGCACGCCAAAGGGGAAGTCACTGCAGAAGTGTCAACAAAGAACGTGTGCCCTTGTCCTTTTTATCCGTGGGCAGAACTCAAGTGAGATGTCTTTATTCACCATCTGGTTGCCCTTCGTTCTTTCTTACCCTATCACTCTAGGAAATGCTAGAGAAAGCTGGCTTTCTGAAAGGCTAAAGTTAAAGCCCAGAAAGCAGGGAACGAGTCTCCACTGTTTCTTTACACTTCTTTGGCGTTGGGTAGATCTGTGTCTTAGTTTGAATTAGAAACTCCAGCACAATCAAGGATACTTCCTTATTTGCTCTTTCGTGGGTGAAACACATGGGCGTCATGGTTACAGTTTTGGAAACTGGGTGCTGTAGCTTCACACAGACTACATTTCTGCCTTTTTTCTTTCTTTCTTTCTTTCTTTCTTTCTTTCTTTTTTTCTTTTTTGTTTTTTTTTTAGTTTGTCTAAATGAGTTCAAAATCTTTCCCCACCCCAGTAAGTTCTTTAAATATCACACTTCCTTCCTCCCTCCCCCTGGCCTCTGTGTCTTTGAAGTTTACCCAGGAGGTGGCTGCAACTTTGTGTTGCTTACATAGCTTGGAAGCGTTTTCTGAGGATGTGAACCTGGTTGTCAACTGTGTTCAAAGTCCTGTTTCGGAAATCCTCCCTCATCCAGGGGCTTCCGCTATTGGAAACTCCTCACTGGCTGAGATGCCCGCTTGGTTTTTATTTTCCTTGACATTTATTAAAACGAAGAATCTCTCTCTCTCTCTCTCTCTCTCTCTCTCTCTCTCTCTCTCTCTCTCTCTGTGACATAGGGCTGCTAAAACGTGCACACACAAGAACTTCATGCACTCCATTTCTTAATATCCCTTGCTCCTCCCTAAGTAATGAGCATTTAAGAAGCAGTCTTATCCTTACAGAAGGAATTGCCGATTGATAGAAACGAAGCTAGCCAGAAGTACAGTCGAAAGGAATTGAAAGAGAATGAAAAAACCTAATAAGAAATGGGCTAGATGGTCGTTCTGCATCAACAAATCTGCTATAAATGGTCTATTCTGGGCGGGGGGAGGGATACGGAACTGTATGAGGTCGTTTACACAGGGTTGCAAAGGCAGTCTAGCTCAATTGCCAGAAAAGAAGGACTTTGGGCAGGGGCGTGGGCATCCCCGGCAGACCTGTCTGTGCTTCCCAGGCAGACAAAGGGGTCTGTAGGAAGGTGATGAACTAGCTCGTGGGGGAGAGGCGTAGGCTGGGGCGTGGGGGTCCAGGCTCTTTGTTCCCTTCCGGGCTGGTGGGCTCCGAGCACAAGCCTGAGCCCAGACAAAGCGACCAAGCTCCGCCAGGACTCCGAGGGTTCGGGCCCACGGCTTGAGACCAGGGAGAGCAGGAGTGGGAGACGCCACACGCTGCCAAGGCGCCCACTCCGGGCCTCCCTAAACCGCCCGCTGGAAGGAGGCGCGCACCGCAAGTCCCTCTAGGGTAAATAACAGACCCGGGACGGTCCACAGTCCTCCTGTGGCCTTTTCCTGGACGCCGCGGGCCAGTGGGCGCTGCCCAGGGGGCAAGGGAAGAGCAGGCGGCGCAGGTACGGGCGCGGTGGTTGGGCTGGCCCGGTTGGGTTTCGCTCGCACCCTTTCCCGGCTGAGCTTTTCTTCCCTGCTCGCCTGAGAAAGGCTGGGGTGGGCTCCTGAGTTCATCACCCGGGAACGAGGTGTGCACGGGGGTCTATCCCCTCCTCCCGAGAGCTGTTCGCGAAGGTGGGAGAATGAATGAGGAGACCAGGGAAGCCTTTATTGTAGGAATCAGGCCCCCTTTAAAAAAAAAATCTCTTTTCCTGCTCAACCAGCAACCGGGCTCCTCCTCCTTAATTAAAACCCACTATGACAGGTGTGAGGGGGGCCAGGCCGAGAGCCGCTGCCGGCGTGGCGCTCCTGCTCGCGCCCCGCAGTGTCCTGGCTGCAGCGGCCATGAACTTGGCTCTGGCGGGAGCAATGCGAGGACGACCCGTCCCCCTAAGCACTCTTTCCCTTTTTCATCAAGATAAACCGTTTAACGGAAAAAAGTGTGATATTTGCTCATGATTTCGTTTCAACTCCCATATAGTCAGTCCTTCTGGTCGAGGAGTTGACTCATCAAACGATCATCTCATTGACTCTCTACCCAAGCCACGTGGAGTGGCTACTTTTGAGATGAGTAAACTAGAGTAGAGGTTTGGCCACAGAGCCCAGGCCCATATTCAAAAGTGAGGTAAGAGACGTAGCCTTTAGGGGGTACTGCGTGCCTTGGGAGTGAGCAGTAGATTCAATTAAGAGCCTTCCATAGTCCTCATATCTTAGAACACCCTTCCCCCACCCCACCCCCACACACACATTCATATTTAGCTTCCCTGCTACCATTTTGCAATAGGCAGACAGTGTCTTTGTCTGTTGGATCAAGTCCATCTAGACTAGTCAGCAATATTACTCTCATACACAATGTTGAGCAGTCATTCCAGGCAGAAGGAAAAAGAATAGCACAAATTTCCTACCAACCATCCACATTCTCATATGTCCACAGGAATACTAGTGGCATGTTTTTTTATAAGGGACTCTTCGAAAATAGGTCAAGTAATTATTGGACATTTCAAACTGATATTTCCTTCCATGCAAACCTATTAATTGCCTGGCGTGATGACTAGTTAATAGAGTTGATCTCAAAGCTCAAAGGACATTGGAGATATGAAGTGGTCTATTCTTGACTGACATTTTTTCTTAGTGGGAAAAATGGCACTTGCCTCACAATTGGCCCATGATTTCACTGGCTCTGTATGCTCTTTGGGAATAACTGGAAATGTGTTAACTTAAGGGTCCTCAGATAAAAATACGAGGGTATGTTCATTTAATGAGATAATGCATTTGAGAGTGTAGCATGCACTTCAATATCATACAAATATGTTTGGATTGTAGTCATTAAAAATTGCCACATGCCATTTTTTTGGTTGACTACAAATAAGACTTTAACTTACTTTTTTTTATCACCTTAGAGATCTTTTTCAATTTGTGTACCTTAGGTTTTCTTACCAGTATTAGTTCTGAAACTTATGACAGAACTGACAGTGGAGATAAGCATTCATACTGAGAGTGTCACCATTGTCAGCAAAGTTTCTTCTAGGGTAGAACACTTGTAAATCAGGAAACCCAGAATCTGCACTTTACTTCATATGTTACATTTGGAATTCTGCTAAAAGTCATAAAGCAGTAAGGTAAGGTAGTACATCTCTCATCTTTATTTTTTGTTGTTTGACACAGGCAATGAAAACACACAACTGTCTCCTGTTTGTTTTCAGGCTTAGTTGGATGCAAGTTCTTTTCTTTTAAATAACTGTAAAAATTTGATATTAAGGAAGAAATTTTACCTAGTCCAAAGGAAACACATTCATTCCCAAACCAAGTAATAAAGAGTTTTCAGAGGGGTTGAATGCAGGGCTTCTGGGACCTAATTTCATGGAACAAAATCAATCATATTTGTTATTACTGCAGAATTAATAGAATAAATTGTACTCATGTCTGACAACTCATATTTCAAATAGAAAAATATTTGTAACTATTAGTAACATAACTAATGATTAGTTTCCATGACTAGTATTGTGTGGATGACCATCTAAGTGGGTTTTCCTTATCTCCTTATAAGCAGGAATATATTATAATATGTATTGCTTTATGCTGCATTATTTCCTTGATGTGTTTTATATTTTTTTCCTTGAGAAGTACATATTGAGTCTTTCTGTATATAGCCCTACACAAGAAATGTTTTCAGTGCAGCTGTTTATCAATTACGGCCAGTCTGGAATGGGAAACTAGTAGGGTGTGGCAACATCCTTCATGTCTTGCTTGCGTTCAAGGGAAGAGAAAGCCTTTTCTAAGACAGAATACTGCCAAGGTCACAAATGAAAAATCCCTTGGGACCCACTTAACTTTATACAAAGAAATGTGCTCCAGAGCCTCAGATTGCTCTAAGCCTAGCCTTCTTACACAGGAATTTCATTGGCTTCAAAACGTGTGACTAGTTGTAGCTGTTTTCATTCAAAGTCCTTTCTAGTGATAAAAGTCTGAAATTTGGTTTACAGTCAGTTCAATGTAAACAATTCAAGAGCAGAGTTATATAGCAGTATTTCATCAATATAAAACTGATTTAAACTTTTAAACCATATATAAATATATATTTAAATCTTAGAGGTTCTGAAATGACTTTATACAGATAGGTATATCATAACAATCATTCTGCCATGTAAAAATGTATCCGTATCTACATCAGGAAAGCAGTCTTCTAGAGATATTTAAAAATGCCAGCCCATGTGTATTTTTACTTCTCCTATAAAAATTTATTGGCTGTAGAAGTAATTATTATAATTATCGCAATCTGTGGTTAGAAAGAGATGACATTGACAGGCCAACTATTAACAACATGGAAATTGGAACAATTCCTACTCCTAGAAATGGTGAGTTTGTGCCATATTCTTAAAGGCATATCTCCGAAAGTGTGAAGGTTAACATCTGTGTATATCCACATTTTCATTCATATATAGTTATTATCATTAGACATGTAATATAAAAATTAACTTCTGGGCCACTGAGTAGTAAATTGCTCCCCATGTTTTCTTGCATCCTAAATGACCTCTATAAAATGATTATTATTAGTCATGCATAGGCATACAAATGTACCATTTTCATCAGTAGGATAGATTAAATATTAATTTTTACAGTGTTCTAAATTTCACAAGGGGTAGTTGCATATGATGCTTTGAGTTGCTTCAAATTGGAACAACAGGTTTAAAAAAGAATGCAGACCAAAATACCAAACTATAAGTCTCCAATTACAGAATTCATCCAACAGCTGTTTCACAAGCAGTGTTTCCATTGATAGTAGCAGAGGATTGCCTACATAATAAACACAGATTTAGACTTTGTGACAGAACAAATAGTCATGTTGCTTTTTAATTATATTTTTGAGATTCTAAAAAATTAAAAGTTCACATATAAAGAAATAAATGCAGATATTGAAAAGCCACATAAACAGGTGGCTTTTCAATTCTCTGAATCTGGGTTTACATCTATAAAGTAGCAAGAAAACAGCCTATTGAACAATGAGCTTGTTTAGCTATAAGTGTTGTAATGTCATAAATGTTATCATAGGTATCTGTCACCGTCACCGTTATCTCCAGTACCCCTGCTACCACCATGACACATAATATACTTGCCTGACACTATTGATTGGAGGAAGTAGCACAGTTGATTCTTTTGATATAATAGAAAACACCAATAATAATGGGTACTCAATGAGTTTTCTCCCCACTGCAATTTTTGTCTCCCCTCTCCCGCCACCAATTATCAGGAAAGTGTCTCTTGTTGTGATGATATTTTGAGACGCAATATAACGTTAGAAATTAGCAATTACATAGTGCTTTATAAATTACTTTCACATACGGAATTCCACTTAGTACCCACAAATTCATTGCAAATTAGATAATGTTATGGCAATTTCCAAGGTGAGATAAATCCTCAGTGGCCTAGAAGCAGAATGTTGTCCAAGGTCATATAGGCTGGCAAGTGATAGAATCACCAACATGTCCAGATCACCTGATATTAAAGGGTCTTCTTACTACAAAACAGAAGTTCTTTCTATTATGTCTGTATGCCTTCTGTGAACATAAAGTTACAATCTTGGGAGTCACAATTATACAGATGCAGAAGAATTGGCCAAACATCCTGTTCTATTGTCTAAACACAGCAGGAAGGGATGGGCTAAAGTGGAACAGAACTTTGATGGGAATTTTTTTTTTTTAATACCACAAGGCCTTTTCTTTTCCTTTTTTTTCAGAATTTTCTTTTTCATCCAGGTAACATTGATTTATATTGGTTTACCAGGGTTTATATTGGTTTATAACATTGTATAATTTTCAGGTCTATAACATTATAATTTAATATCTGTGTATGCTACAGCATGCTCAACACCAAAGGTCGAGTTTCCATTTGTAACTAACTATACAGTTTACCCCTTTTACTCATTTCACCCTACTCTCACCCCTTGCTCCTCTGCTAACCACCAATCTGTTGTCTGCATCTATTAATTTGTTTTTATTTCCTATTTGTTCATTTTGATTTTTTTATTCCACATATGAATAAAATCATATGGTATATGTCTTTCTCCATCTGACTTATTTCACTTAGCATAATACTTTCAGAATCCATCCATGTTGTTGCAAATGGCAATGTTTCATCTTTTTATAGCTGAGTAGTATTCCAGTACGTGTGTGTGTGTGTGTGTGTACGTAACACATCTTCTTTATCCATTCATCTGTCCATAGACGCTTGACTTGTTTTTATATCTTATCAATTTTAAATAATGCTGCTATGAACATAGGGTTGCATATTTCTTTTCTAATTAGTGTTTTCATATTCTTTGGATGAATACCCAGAAGTAGAACAGCTAGATCATATGGCAGTTCTACTCTTAATTTTTTGAGGAACCTTCATACTATTTTTGATAGTGGCTACATTAATTTATAATCCTAACAGTGAACAATGGTTCCCTTTTCACCACATCCTCTCCAACACTTGTTATTTCTCATTTTTAAAAAAATAATAATCAGGTGTGAGCTGATACCATGATTCTGATTTGCATTGCCCTAATAGTCATGTTGAACCTTTTTCGATGTACCTCTGGCCATCTGTATGTCTTCTTTGGAAAAAAGTCTATTCAGATGTTCTGCTTTTTTTTTTTAAGTTTTTTTTTTAATTGGGAAATTGGGGGATGGGAACAGCACTGGGGAATTGGGGAAGGGGAACAGACAAGTTGCTGTCCTTTTGTTCTTCAGTCTAGTTGTGGAGGATGTTGCTTCACTGGCCCAAGTTAGCACCTTCATTGCACTCTTCCCGGGCGAGACAGATCAGTCGCCGGCTTCTGGACGGCTGCTCACTGCGGCTGCTGGCCGCTCACACTGGCTGCTGGCTACACACGGTAGCCCATGGCAACCCACTGCAGCAGGGGCTGCACCCTATGCTGTCCCTGGTGACTCAAGGCAGCCCAGCTCCAGGTTGAGCTGTTGTTCAGCATCTTAGCTGTAGAGGGCAGTGTCACTGGCCCTCATATGTGGGATCCGAACCAGGCCCTCTGGCGTCCCAAGCCAGCTCTTAACCAATGTGCCACTCGGCCGGCCCTGTTCTGCCTTTCTTTTTAATCGGGTTGTTTTTGTTGTTGAGTTATGTGAGCTCTTTATGTATTTTGGATAGTAATCCCTTTATTGGATTTGCAAATATCTCTTCCCATTTGGTAGGTGGTTTCCTTTGCTGTCAATGGCTTTTTCTTTATATGAAAATGGCTTCATGTCAAAAAGAATAAGAGTAATAATTATCCTGATAGAGTTATATTCACTTTATAATATCTTTTATCATACTCATATCATACATCTTCTAACATGTAGAAAAATTATATCTACAATTTGTCACCACTAATCTAAATCAAGTTACGTATTATGGAACTTAGACAAAATTATTCTTACTTTCACAAAGATGGCATTTTTACTTTGTTTCAGAGATGGTGAACTGTGTTTAAGTCGATCACTTGTCAATAGTTCTGATAAAATCATTCGAAAGGCTGGCTCTTCAATCTTCCAGCACTCTGTAGAAGGTTGGAAAATCAATTCCTCTTTGGTCCTGGAGATAAGGTGAGTTTCTTTAATAAGGCATAATACATTTTACACCATGTTCTTGAATATGTTGGGCTTGGTGGACTTATATTGAAAACTTGATTTATAGTTTAACTATGAATACTTTAATAAAAGAATGAATCAGCTCTACTTAATGTTATTCACTGAAGAATACGAAACCATAAAACTGAAATCATACAGCCTGAAATTTAAGAATGAATATGTGAGTTTTAAATATACTGTCTTTATACTAATGGAATAAGATATTCTAGAGAGTACTAATATTTAACATACTGTTCTCCACTCAATTACTCAGTTACACATATATTTTGAGAATTATTTTAACTTCCCTATTAAGTTTTCATACTGATCTTGTCTTTTCTCACACTAGATGAAAATAGAGCTTATTCAACTTCTATTTTGCTGACAATTGTAAATACATTTGACTTACTCTATCAATAGGTATTTTTATGTTAGCTCCTGTAATAAAAGTCTCAATAAATATGCCCTAAATAGGTAAAAATATGAAAATAAGCTTTCTAGAACACTGGTTTATTCTTTGTAAGAATTTGGCATTTTAGCTGAAACAAGCTCTTGAAGTCAAAGTCGGTGTCTACATATATACGCTATGTCTTATTTTCTTCAGTTGTACTCCTATTACTAGTAAGAAAGGTAGGACCAGACTTTCCTAATTATAGAGGAAGCAAGCAGATAATTTTTTTTCCTATAGTTACATTACTGTGTGGGTTGGTATGTTTAATTAGAACATTTTGGTATATCAGAACTATTTAAAAGTTTGAGAAAATAACCACCCTTAACATAATAAAATCATTGCGTTTTTCTAGCATTGACAAAATTCTAATTATTCAATGTTTGGATATTAACATAGATTTTGTAAGAGCAGTTAGTGGTTTAGAAGATAAACTCTTGATCTGTTTAGGTTACCACTCTACTACTCGCTTTTTGGATCATACCCATATATAATGTAATTATAAGCAACTTGAAGGAAGAATCTACTACCTTCATCTTTAGAGTATGCGTAGCAATTCATAGAACTCATTGCAGCAAAGGCACCCTCTACATGTTGAAATATACTTGAAAGAATATCTGAAAATTAAAGAGATGAGTCAGGGAAATAGAGAGATGGTTAGACTACATTGTACGAAAGCTTTGGAAGTATACTGGAAAGGGAAACAGAAATCAGATCACGGCAATGTCAAATGGTGTAATGTTTGGTTGCTGTTAGTTTAGAGGGAACATTGTATATTTGTAGGTGGAGTACAAGAATGCAAAGATGAATCTGATGGCTGAGTTTATGAATTGTTATCTTTGGGGTAGAATATAGTTAGCAAGCAAGGTTACTTCAACTGCATGGGAACAAAAACTTAAAGCCAATGTTAAAAATTAGGAGATTCCTTATACAAGTACATATTTTCATATACTCTTGAGAAACTCAAAACTTTGAGATTCTGGATCTGTATTCCTCATAAGAACTAGTTGGCTAAAGCCAGCACTAGCCATGGTCTCTCTAGTTTGACATTTTTACACCTGGAGCTCCCTTATTTCATGATACCTACCTAGTACTTTCCTCATTATGTCACACTCTTATACCCACATTTGAATTTAGAAACCCTGAAGAGATGAGATATTTATGAGAAAAAAGCTACAGGATGTGGGCTAGATGGAGTCGTAAATACAGGTGTGGTTTAGTTTAGAATACAGTAAGGCTTCATATTTCTTGGAGGTAGATTGGAAAAAGAGAACTATGGGTGATTAAAAAGGAAATGTTTGATCTATAAGGATGTCTTGAAATGAACTTTGAAATTGAATGATTGGCAAGAAAGGAGACAATTGGGTTAGGCTATACAGATCAGGTAAAGGGAAGTAATGCAAGAAAGTAAAGTAAAATAAGAAATTGTAATAGTTTAATTAATATATCTATAGACATGCTAAATAATATATCAGATAAAGTTTAATAAGTAAATTAAATAAGTAACTAGCAATAGTTTAATTAATGTATCTGGCCATGAATACTATAGATGTACATGAGCCTAAGAGGTATGTTTGCTGGGGGTTTTTTTTAAGATTTTTTTTATTTTGGGGAATTGGGAGAGGGGAACAGACAGGTTGCTGTCCTTTTGTTCTTCAGTCTAGTTGTGGAGGATGGCACTTCACTGGCCCATGTTGGTATTATCATTGCACTCTTCCCAGGAGAGGAAGTCGCTCGCCGGCCATTGGATGGCAGCTCACAAAAGCTCACAAAAGCTCATGCCAGTTGCCGGCCAGCCCCACTGCAGCCCCACTGCAGTCTATGCTGTCGACGGTGACTCACAGCAGCCCAGCTCCAGGTCGAGCTGTTGTTCACTATCTTAGCTGTAGAGGGCGCAGCGTCACTGGCCCTCATGTGGGATCCGAGCTGGGGCCCTGCTGCTCAGAGCTGGTGTCCCAAGCCAACCCCTAACCATCGTGCCACTCGGCCGGTCCTGTTTGCTATTTTTAAGATATTCAAACTAAAGGTATTAAACATACGTTAATCCAAGTGGTTTACTATTGCAACTTTACAAATTCATGAGGGTTGCATTCACATCTTTGAGGGTAATCTTTTTTCATTTATAACAACTGATAATATTTATGAAATGTTAGTACTCTTTTCATATGGTTCTCCTTAACAGATAAAGATGTAAACAATAAAACAGTGAGCAAATATTGAATAATACATACAAAGTAGTCACTTCCTTACAAGGAAATAATAATTTGTAAAACCATTATTGCACAATGTGCAAACAGTTCATTAAATTTATAATTGCCTATGTCAATAGTGACTAGTGAGTATTAATCAGTTTGACACCTGTAATGAAAAAATTAGAACACGAAAATGTCTGATTATTAGCTTAGCTTTTGTTTTTCTTAAGTCACACTGGAAACTAATTGTATTTTGGATTTTTTTCTTGGTTTATTTCCCCATATTAATAGCATTTATAAAGAGCCATACTAGTTTGTCTGTGAGTGGGTGTGGGCATATTTTACAAGTGTTTTCAAAATTGTTCTTTGAAGTTTTTGATCAAGACATTACAACTAATCATTTTTTATCTTACATGATTGAGCCATGCTTTCAAATCTTTCTCATTTTAAAAATCTCTTTAAACTTATAATGCTCCTATGACATTCTTAATAAATTATTTATCTATTTGCATTAAAATGTGAAACAGTCACTGAAGATAAATTGTTTTTCCCTACATTTATAAGCATGGTTTTCTTTCTTAATACTAATTCTTTCAGCCCTATATGTACTCTGCTACTTTTAAAAGCATATCAAAAATTGATTCATATATATTCATCAAACAACTGTACCTCTGGGGAGTTGACTAAGAGAGATGGTTTCATGTGTTGGTTCCTTGTACTTTCAAGATTAATCATGATTTAGGGGAGTTTATGCATTCTACAGCTAACTTCATAATTAAAATAATTAGCTTGGTTACAGGCTTGATTTTATTAGTGCTAGTTTGTTCTTATTGTTGTAAGCTAAGAAATGACACATTTAAGATGCATCAGACTTTGGGAAATCTGTGAACATTGTACTGAAACATTTGGTTATGTCTAACACTTGTGACTTGACTTTTTTCCTTCTTTGGGTTGTTTCTTGTCTTTCTTTTTTTCTTTTTCATATGTTGAACAGAAACCTAAAGAAGTACAATACCAAATATGAATGTATGGAAATGTAGGAGCTCAGCTACTCAGCAAGACAGATTAAGTGCATCACAATTAGTCAGAAAAAAATATTTTCATTTGTTAGTATCATCCTATTTCAAAGTTCTTAAACAGATAAGGCTGGCAGGTTAACTAAATATAATGGCAAATTTATATGTGCTTATCTATTAAAAAGAATTTGCTGTTGCCTGCAATGATTTACTTTAGAAAAAGGTCCACAAACACTTCTACTTACTTTGTTCAGTAAGTGACCAGTAGAGCATGTTTTTGGTCACACAGCCTCTTAGTGGCGGAATCAAGCTTCAATGTCAGGCCTGTCTGACAGTAGAGCTAGAGCTCTTAGTATGAAACCAACTTATTGGAAGACTACATTTTAATACCAAAATGTATACTATTAAATGCATTTATGGCACACACAGTTTTTTGTTATTTGCTCTAAAATAATAAAATACATATATTATCCATCCGATATTAGGGAATGAGTAATGATGGGCCACATGTTAAATGGCCATCTGCGGTGTAAATTAAACTAAAGTATGTTTTTCTTCAAGCATTTTGAGACAATTATGCCTTTTCATTTGGTTGTTTTGGGGATTTTTCTTTTGCTACTAGAATATCTTTCTCATAACAGCAAGGATCCCAAGCTCAGAAGTGCTCCCAAGCTACCTGTTCTTTCAGAGCACTAAGGCACATGGCCTTATGGAAATAATACTTTCAGACAAAAACACGTGTGGTCTCTCTGCTTTTGGTAGGCATAATGAAACACTTAGCCTTTCTTAAATTTTGGTGTTTTTTTTTAGTAAACCATGTAATAATAATTGAATTGATTCAGTGATATTCGTCTGGGTCAAAATTTGCAAAAAAATGGTTCCTAATATATGTGTCATTAGTTGAGAACCTAATTTGCTTCTCAACTTGTGACGCATTCCAACCATAAAATTTGTCTCACAATACTTGCTGATGGAGTCAGTAATGTCACCTAGATTAAATTTTAGTTGCCACAGCACGTATGCTTGTTGTTGACAAGAAAACTACATAGAAGAAAGAGTGGCACCTGGTGATAGGTTAGCTATATTTAACATTTCACCAGTGAAAACAATGTTTAGTAAATTAATTCTCCGGGCCCCTGCAGCTGCTACTTCAAGTGATGGGTGATGTTGAAAGGGACGTTCTAGTTGGAAATTCAGTTGAAAAGTTTCTGTGTAGAATCTATTTCTGTCAGTTTAACAGTCAGTCTAAACCAACATTCAGTTAAAGCCAACGTCGCCTAAAAAAAAAAAAAAAGTGATCTTTATGACTACGTTTTTTAGTCTCACTGAAAGTGAAACATGTTTTTGGATTCTTTCAGTTATCTTTACCATTAAAACAGTTGCTGAATTTAGGTGTGTTCTTATCTCGTGGAGTTTAAAAAGTTACATTATGCTCACAAAACAACCATTCAAGACATATCAGGAATCTTTTGTTGTTGTTGTTTAAAGTCACACAGAAAACAACACCCCCGCCTCCTTTAAATATCTGGCCATAACTTGACTACATATTAGGAAAACTTGTTCAGCGGACCCTCGAATAATGTGATTTTGTTCAATGTAGTTCTGTTATAACATTGATGAGAAAAAAACAAACAAAAAAAACCCCAACAAAACCTATAACCTGCTGAGGCCACTGTGTGTGGAATTTGCATGTTCTCCTCATGTTTGCATGGGTGTTTTCTGAGTCCTCTAGTTTCCTCCCACAACCTAGAGTTGTGTGCGTTAGGTGAACTGGCATGTCTAAATTGTCCTAGTTTGAGTGAATGTGCCCTGCAATGGAAGGGCGTCCTGTCCAGGGTGGGTGCCTGCCTTGCTCCATGAGCTGCCAGGATAGGCTCTGGACACCCATGACCCTGAACCGGAATAAGTGGATTGGAAAAGAATTCTCCTACTTGTTTTTATTCATCTTTCTTAAATGTATGTGTTGCTCACATTTATTTCAAAGTTTAATATTTGAAGTGTTTTGAGTCTTTAGAAGTTTGGTGACCAGAAACATATTGTAGGAACTTAACTCTTATTTATATTAATTAGCCTGTGGCAAAATTGGTTTTGTTACATGTCCTTTTGCTTAAAGTCAGTTTCCAATAACTTATCTACGACATTAAATGAGGACTTACTGTACTAGTTCAGCTTGCATTTTAAGCATTAGTTTTTGTTGATTCATGTTTCTTTACAGCATAGAAGTTAAATTGAGTTTCTTTCTATTGCTCTCATTCTGAAGTAATTTTGTTTAACCTGCTCTTTTCATTCATATCAATTACCTTCTGAGCAAAAGCATGCCTATTCTTGGTGATAGTTAAAGTGTTGTTTCAGTTCAGTGTACATACAAGAGATTTTCATGCATCCAATGACATTGAATTATATTTATGCAACAGTTTTCTTCTTTCTAAAGTTTGAACCACAGCTAGACTTAGCAAATTCACAGAACTTTCTATAGTCCATTACATCTATAATCTAAAAACTGCCTACAGCCTGCTAGGGCGGGGAAAAAAAAAAGAAGAAGAAGAAGAAGGAGGAGGAGGAGGAGAAGGAGAAGAAGAAGGAGAAGAAAGAAATAACCTTTTCTTACAGTTTCAAAAAAAATCTTAAGCATTGAAGTCACAATATTGTCACTCATAATAATTATTTTCAGTCTTTTTTGCATCCTACATCAGGAATCTTAGCTGAAGTAATTTTTCATGCTAAGATTTAAGCCCTAAAGAGTAACTTTAAGTAACTACAAGAGTAACTAAAAGTTTGGTTCAGTGTAAGAAAAAGAGCATACTGGAGACATTGAAGGTTTCCTCCCTCCACCCCTTTTCGGTTTTAAAACAGCAAATACTATAGTAACAATCTCTGAATTTTGCCTAAAATCTTACATTTGTATATTTTGATTAATCTATGTGAATTTGTATTTTTATTCTGTCTTTAAAAGCACTTTTACTATTTTTAACTGCTGCCATTTAAAGAAAAAATAAACTATTAATACTACTGTGCCCGTAACAACATTGGAAGAACACACACAATAGTATCATCTGCACTTAATAATTATTTCTCTCTTTAAGCATTATTTTCTTCTAAGAGTAGGACAGTATAATGTCTTTCAAAACATTTCTGAACTCAGTCTGCTTTTTTATATCAATTGTCCGTGACTGAATAAATTAAAGATGTCCTATGATATTCGGGAATTTAGAAGACTTAAAGTTCGAAAATATTTTTGCAGCTGACTTTCTATAACACAGCAAAGATGCTGTTATTGGAAAGTCCCTTTTGCAATCATTTGACAAACATGTAAGTGCTAACTTTTCTTCATGAGTAAAGGGATTGTCCCTTTTGGATTTCCGAGCTAAAGAGTCTTCTTTCAATTCCGGACCTGGGACACGTTGACTGCACGCTTGCAAACATGCCACTACTTGTGCGTTCTATCTTCAAATATCTACTGCTACCCCTTCAAGTTATGTTCAAAGGAAAATGATAATGCCACTGAGTTTGGTGATTTAACCACATCCTTGCACTCTTTATTTTGGAGCCAGCTTTGTCATTTTCACAGGAAATGAAATTTTTTTTATTGAAATACAGGTGTCAGGCATTACTCAATTGTTTTCCCCAACAAATAAATGGTAGTTAATAAGCATGTACCAGAGTTTCTATGGCTTATGCTCTTGGTGCTAGTTGTTCACTTTTGTTAAAAATCATATTTGTTTGCTTAGTGTAATGAAGGACTTCTAATTTTCTGCATTTCATATGCCCTATAGCTGCTGATATCACTGGCAGTTTCTCTTCTGTACTTTGTTAAGATGGAATATTATGGTGCCTGATAGTATTTCTATTAATTTTTCTATTTCATTTTTATAGGGTATTTATACCGGTTATTTTGTACAAAATCCACTCCATATGAAACTGATATTCTAAATATTTGAGAAAAAATTCAAAACTGTACTCTTTTTCAGAGAGCTAGTGGAAATATCCATTGTAAAACCTGGCCAAATAAAGTTTTAAATAACCTGTTTTCCTAGTTAGACCACAGATTAAGCTTTGGGCCTGCTTAAAGCAAACTAAAAAGGAGAAAACAAAAGGAAAAATATGTGTTATTAATTTTTCATCCCTCCTTGCTGGTCATACTTCTGACTTACAACTGTGATTTGGAGAATTGCCCTTTTGGTGGAGTGATGGGAGGATGTCATATTTTGTGCTTAGTAATAAAATGTACAAATTGTGATAGAGCTTAAACAATAATAGCACTCGACGAAAAATATGTCTGCCGTATCTTGAATGTTATAATAATGGCATTGTTTTCAGCACTCCGAAAATACAAGCTTGCAAGAAAAACACTTCAGTAAATAATATCCAACTTTCTACCTTGAAAAGAGTTTTCTCAGATTGTCTCTAGCTGCTGTATGTTTGGTCGTTTATGGATCAAGCCATCTCAGACCTTGTAGGCCAGGCTTATAGTTTTTCTGGCGATAGAATTGCTTCAAAAATGTATTAGGCTCCTAGGCTACTTCTTTGTAGTTAGTTCCTGGTATAATAACACCACCTAAAGATTTCTTCTGAACACAGCTCTTCAGTTTTTTGACTGTCCTCTAAATATTCGGGCCTAAACCTCCTTTCCCACAATTTAATGGCAGCTACTCTTAAGTCATTTGAATTGATAAACTTAGGTGGGAAGGCAGTATCCCTCTTGCTGCTGGGATGACCCTCCTTTCTAGTTGCATTTCTTATTCATTGGGGTATTAGCAACATTTGGGAGTTCCCAGTTACTAGACTCTCACCTAGTTTGGATTATAGGTCACTGCCAGAGATATTTCCTTCCATCTCAGCTTGCAACTTGGCTATTTCATGCCTAACTTCACCGATTTTTTTTTTTTAGGGCTTTGCTAAAAAGGAGCAATCAACATAAAGCAACCTACAAAAACTTTTTAGCCAATTTTCGAAGAACAACAGGTTTATTAGATATAGAGCATGACCCTCGAAATTATTGCAGACAGCAGTTTTGTAAGGAGCTTTGGTATATCATGCCAAGGGTCAAACAGCTTGCCAACCAGCTATATTGATCTTCTCATTTGCCATCCTTTAACTTAGCATATGCATATATGTTTATGTAGCATCTCACATCTGTTATCAATGTCTTTATTAGTTATGGGCTAGGCCAAGCTTCCATAAAAAAGAGACCTTAAAATACAGTGGATGAAACAAGGTGAAAGTTTATTTCTCTCTCATAAAGTCATGCACGTGATCCACTCATATGCCATTGAAGAAAATTGTCTCACGTGACCAAGCCCTGCTGCACTTGGGTTTGAAAACTTGAAAATATTCTTTTTGACCATCCATGTACCCAATCAAAACTTATAAGATTCAAATACTAAAAGAAAGAAGGAAAGAAAGGACACTAGGAAACAATTAGCCATCTCTGCCATGCGTGAATCTAGTGCTCTATCTGTCCATCTTTGCCTCTGATGTACCCATCTTACTTCCTGGATTTTTGAGTTTGGAAGAAAGATTTCATATACATATTGTACTATCATTTTAACTCTTCTTCAATAATTATAATATACACATGATTTGGATAAATGTATATGTAAGTTTATTGTAAAGGTCAATCATTTTAATAGAGTTAACTAAGGTATAGTTCCAAACAACTTCAAGTCACTTCTATTCATCTTAACTACACAATATTAAACAAAATAGATAACTATAGAAAATTAAAGTTAGCAGAATATCTAGTTATGCAAAGTCAACTCATGGCAATTGTATTTATTTAATAAACTGATTTTTCTATATATTTTGGTAGGTGGGGGCTTTTTTATTCCACAAATAGGTGCAAATTGAGAAGCTGTGCAAATTATTTTTTTTAAATATATTCTATACCCTATGGAATCTACTTAATTGGTTTGTTACATTACCCTCCCACAATTTAAGGTTAATAATTTACCAATTTACATTTCATCACATGGTATTTTATAAAAAAACTATCACCAGTTCTTAACTATGTTGTCGTTAATGGAAAACTTTGTTTCTATTTCAAATATAGGAAGAACATTCTTCGTTTCCTAGACGCAGAGCGAGATGTCTCAGTGGTCAAGAGCAGTTTTAAGCCAGGTGACGTCATACATTATGTGCTTGACAGGCGCCGGACACTAAATATTTCTCAGAATCTGCATAGCCTCCTACCTGAAGTTTCACCAATGAAAAACCGTAGATTTAAGACCTGTGCGGTTGTTGGAAATTCTGGCATCCTGCTAGATAGTGAATGTGGAAAGGAGATCGACAGTCACAATTTTGTAATAAGGTGAGCTTTATTCTGTTCCTAAAGACTGTAATTTCATCAAAGATGTTTAACTTAGAAGTGGAAAACTGACACAAATCTAACATCAATATTAAGGATTAGTGAAAGCTCAAAAACATATTTATCTATATCTTTTTCTGTATAGCATCCAAATTTACATTTACCCATGAAGTATAAAATTAAAATTACTGTATCATTGAAGAAAAAGATTCACACCAGCATTTTTTCTTTTTTTTGCCAAATGGCAATTTTATTAGTTTTCATACTAAAATAGGAAAATTATATTCTTAATATTTCTTCTTAACATTTATTAATTGAATATTCATTCACTAACATGAATAATTATTTATATTAGTGAATGAATTAATTCACAAATTAATTATATTTATATAAAATTATATTACTTTATTCATAAATATAAACATTAATATGCAATGATATAATGGGTGTAAGTTAATTTTACTTTTTAATGATAATTATTTAGCAGATTCTAAGAATATAACACAAGGTTATATTTGATATCTTGGGCCAAATTGTCTTTTTTATATGTGGTATTTGTGTATGTTAGTATGTTTTAGCTTTTTGAGTTTTCACACATAGTTAAACATACATATTTGTTTTCGTTGATGGTCAACAGATATTTGTTGAGTCTTGTGCTTGGTGAACTTTTAAATAATTGATAAAACCAAAACAGTAGAAGTGGGATTGTGATAGCATCATTAATATTAGCAATTTTTAATTCCCAATTCATGTATCTGAACAGAATTATTGGCTTGTTTTAGTTCTTCAGAAAAATTTGCTGAATGAATCATATATGTATATTGAAATATGGAACAATGCAATATATAGATAAATAAGTATGCTGATTTGTCATGTTGAATAACCTGAAGGTTTTTTCTTTTTTAAAAGATTTTTATTAAAATATAGCTAACATACACCATTATATTAGTTTCAGGGGTACACCATAGTGATTCAACATTTATATACCTAGAGAAGTGATCACCATAAGTTCAGCAACTATCTAACACATTACTATGCTATCCCAGTATTATTATTTATTCCCCATGCTGTACATTACATTCCCATGACTTCTTTGTTTTATACCTGGAAATTTTAACCTCTTATTCCCCTTCACCTTTCCCCCCTCTTTTTTAAATTTTCAATTACAGTTGACATTCAGCATTATTTTATAATTTCAGGTGTACAGCATAGTGATTAGAAATTTATGTAATTTAAGAAGTGATCCCCTTGATGAGTCTAGTACCTACCTGGCACTATACAGTTATTACCATATTTTTTACTATGTTTCCTATGCTATACTTTACATCCCTGTGACTATTTTGTACCTATCAATTTGTACTTCTTAAGACCCTCACCTTTTCCACCTTTTACCCCAACCTCCTCCCATCTATCACCCTGATAGATCTAGTACCCATCTGACACTATACATAGTTATTACAATATTATTGCATATATTCCTTATGCTATACCCTACATCCCCATGATTACTTTGTAACAATCAGTTTGTGCTTCTTAATCCCTTCCCCTTTTTCACCCATTCCCAACCTCCCTCCCATCTGGCAACCATCAAAATGTTCTTTGTATCTATATGAGCTTGTTTCTGTTTTGTTTGTTTATTTTGTTCTTTAGATTCCAAATGTAAGTGAAATCACATTGCATCTGTCTCTCTGTCTGACATACTCCACTCAGCACAATACCCTCCAGGTCTGTCCATGCCACCACAGATGGAGAGAACCCAGTCCCTTTTATGGCCGAGCAATATTCCGTTATATACAGAAGGTGCCAAAAAATGTATACACATTTTAAGAAAGAAAAACTTTATTAAAATTGTAATAATATATACAGATAATGGAAGATGAATACAAGTCACCTTTGACTTCTGAAATTACAAGAGGTGCTCAAAGTGGTTACCATCAACGTCCAGACACTTCTGATTATAGCGAACTGCTTGAGCAATGTTAACCAAAGTGTCCACTTATATATATTTTTTCAGCATCCCCAGTGTGTGTATGGGTGTGTGTGTGTGTGTGTGTGTGTGTGTGTGTGTGTGTGTGTGTGTATCACCTACTCGTTATCCATTCATCCTTCAGTGGATACTCAGGCTGTCTCCACATCTTAGCCATTGTAAACAATGCTGTAATGAACATATGAATGCACATGTCCCTTGGAAGTAGCATTTTGGGTTTCCTCAGCTAAATACCCAGAAGTGGGATTGCTGGGTCTTTCTTTGTCACTTGTTTTAGCCTTTGTTTTAAAGTCTGTTTTGTTTGGTATAAGTATTGCTACCATAGCTTTTTTTTCCTTTTTTTTCGATTTCCATTTTCATGAAATATTTTTTTTCCCCATCCTTTTACTTTCAGTATGTGTGTATTTTTTATCTGAACTGAGTCTCTTGTAGGCAGCATACGTAAGGGGCTTGTTCTCTTATCCATTCAGCCATCCTATCTTTTGATTGGATGGAGCATTTAATCCATTTATAGTTAAGTAATTGTTCATAAATATGTAGTTATTGTCATTTTATTATTCATATTTTTTTTCTATCTATTTATTTGTTTATTTATTTATTTATTTATGTCTTAAGGAAGTACCTCTAAGATTCTTTGTAATACTGGTTTGGTTGTGATGAACTTCTTTAGCTTTTTCTTGTCTGGGAAGCACTTTATCTGTCCTTCAATTCTAAATGACAGCTTTGCTGGGTAGAGAGAGAAATCTTGTCTAGGTCCTTGCTTTTCATCACATTGACTATTTCCTGCCAATCCCTTTTGGCCTGCAACATTTCTGTTGAAAAATCAGCAGACAGCCATATGGGGGAGCTCCCTTGTAGGTAACTAACTGGTTTTCTCCTACTGTTCTTAAGATTCTCTCTTTGTCTTTAACCTTTGGCATTTTAATTATGATTTAGTTATGACCCTTAGGCTGATTGGTTGTTTGAACTGGCTGTGCCTACAGTAGAGGAGCTGTGGTGCAGAGGCTGACCCTGCAGAGCAGGGTTTGATTAGCAGGGCTCTGGTGCCTGCCCAGTCTGCCCTTTGGATGTGCCATCCTTGGAGGTGGCTGGGGTGATGCTTCAGCCCAGTCTGAAGCTGGCCACTGGGATGCCAGCCTGAGGCCTCCTGGGAGGGGACCTGCTGCAGGCCAAGTTCAGCTGCAGTCTGTGTCCTACCCAGGGCCACCTGGCATGAGCCACAAAGCAATCCAGTTATGGCCGCCACCTGTGCTGTGCTTGGAGGTACCTTGAGAGGCCAAGCCATGAACTAAGGCTGGCTGTTGTGAGTGCCGGACTTAGGGCTGCTCAGCCAGAGGTATAGGACATGCTAAAGCCAGATGCTGCTTGTTTAGGTTTTGGAAACCTTTGAGAGATTTTAGAAAATTCTGCAGCATTAGTCAATGCAGGCCATATAGGGAAAAGCCACTGGAAGCAGCTTGTGTGTTCCTGAAAGTTGGGTGGGGCGTGGGCTCAGGGAATCACTAGGGTGAGGCAGAGGAAAGGTGATAGTCAGTGTGATGAAGACTCAGATATGATGTCTGTGTGCATCTGCAGGCAGGGACGGGGAGGACTCTACGAAGAAACAGTGGCTTCCACCAGCTCCTCCATCTGGGAGAAACTTGCCTTCCAGGCCTCACCCTGAGGTTGGACAATTCAGTTCCTCCCAGTATGCCCCTGGTACTTTTCGAGCTGCTGACCCAGCATTGGCACTCAGAGTCAGTGATTCCATGGCTGAGTAAGTCTGTGCACCATCCCTTTAAAAGGAGCACCTGAGACACTGGCTGCCTTCAGTCTCACTCAGCCACAACTTCTGCTGGTGTTCACAGCAAGAAGTTATAGGGACTTCTCTCCCCAGCACTGAAACCCTGGGCTAGGGAGGGACTAGGACCCCTTGCTCCTCAGGTGGGACCACTGCAGCCGAGATATCCCTCCTGATTTTTAATGTTCACACACAGGTGTGGGACCAGCCAGTTTTATGTCTCTGCCCCTCCTACCAGTCTTGAGGTGGCTTCTTCTGTATGCCTATAGTTGTAAGGCTTTGGTTCAGCTAGACTTCAGGTAATTCTCAATGATGGTTGTTCTGTGGTTTAGTTGTAATTGATATGATCCTGAGAGGGGGTGAGCATAGCGTTTATCTACTCCACCATTTTGACTGGAAATTCCAATAACCTGAAGTTTTTAACATACTGGAATAGAGGCTGTGAAAGGATAGATCCTGAAAAACTCTTTTTGCTATGTAGTCTTAAAAATAAATGTAATTAAAAAGTATTAATTATAAAAAAGCAATAATTTTTAATGAAGCAATAATAGCCCAAAGAAATCATAATAGAACACTATCAGGTGATTATAATTCACAACAATGAATATGACTACAAACATTTTGCCTTATTATCTTACCTTTTCTCAGTGGGATGCAGGTTCAGAGATTCACTTGACTTCAGTTGAGTCTTTAAAATCCTGAGCTCTTACATTGATTGGACTGAGAGAAAACCCCTGTCAACATGTAGGTATACAAACAAAATTGTATCCAAAGAGGAGATAAAAATGTTTGATAAGGGAATAAATGACAGTGAAGTAGAAGCAATGACCAAACATTGAAGTCGGTGTGACGTATGGTTTTGAAGATAAAGTAAAACATCTAGAATTTCCAGAGTCTAAAATCAAAGGGCAGGTAAAATAAAGAAGTAAAGATTTTAGAGTATAATAGAAGTTGTTGTAATGGAAAGAAAAGAATTTTAAAAGCTGATTAACACTCAAGGAATACAGGATTCAAATGTGACTGATTCCATGTCCCTACATCCCTCTAAGCTTCAGCATTGGGATATTTATAACCCATTAGATGCAGCCCCATCTCAGACTCTGCAATTATGGCCACTTTCTTCTATTCGCTCATTTTATTATTTATTTATTTATTTATTTAAAGAAAGAAAGAATGAATGTAGGATTTGAGAAAAATTTGGTTTATGTTCCTGTATTATTGTCTTAGAATTTACAC